TGTCAGGGTACGTGAGAGGGACACGACCTCATCCCAAGCCCTATCTCCGTGATCAAGTTAGATTCTCTTCACAGTGTACTAGCGACACTATCACTAGTTACTGCCGCAATTACACTGCAATTCAAGACGACTCTACCAAGTGTACCTTCATGTACTTTTGGCCTGTATTGTTGGTAGTATTTTTTACCTACGACTGTTCCAAACGCCGAGTCGCTGGGCCAAAAGAGTAAACGACATCCCAAGTGGATGGTGCAACGCATCGTACTCAATGTTACTGAAACGTAGCAACCTGGCTTCCAGGCGGTTGGTATACGATCGATCATCTACGGTTATTAATGTGAAAAAATAAACGCTTCAGTCCTTCCGCAATGCGTGGCTGAAATCAAGATACTGATGTCTGTACTGATACAATACAAAAACTCTCTCGGCCAACTTCAATTATCAGAGCCCAGTTGATATCATAAAGTATTGTGCCGCTATTGTGTGTTGAACAGACGTTGGGTGAAGCAGTAAAGCCGGATTCCTACTACATTCTTAGATCAGTTTCCATGTCAGCCAACCTAGTACGGTCTATTTTTGCATTGACTTTGATAGCTTCTTTTTGTGTCTGCAGGTATTTGGGTTTCGGGTAGGACCCTTGTTTTTTACCTGGAAACCCAATTGCACCGTTTTCCACATGTAACTGATTTTGGATTTCCAATGTTCACAGCAAAAGGGCACGCATATGAGGTTATGTTTAATCAGTTCTGAAAGAGTAGCTGGGATCTTCTGCGATGAGACAAACGGATGGCTTCTTCGTGCATGCTGAGTTGACTTGCTTCGACAGAGTCGTTTGGGAGTCAAATTTGACATTGCACCCAAGCTCTTTCACCAGAATACACCCACATCGACCGCCTTATGCCATGAAGAAATGAGTCGTGCCATGATCAAGATTCTTTTATGTCGAAAATCTCTACTTTGCTGTTGAATGTCTCATGTCAGCTCTCATTTTTCCAGAGAGAGGTGCACCTCAAGGCCTCCAATCATCGTAATTGATTTAATTGAAACCGGAATGAATATGGTCGAGGCAGGCTTCTTACAGACGCTAGCATAGCATCAGGCATGGCAGAACTTGCGAGTGTCTGGTTTCAATCTCTTGAATCTAAATGGTCCTCGTCAGGAAATAAGGGCAGGCGCTGACATACTGGCAGCAGGCTTCAACGTTGGCTTTTTAAGTCGTATCGCTTGTAGTCTTCTTCCGGGAGTCATTGCTGTCTGAACCCGAGAATTCTCAAGACAACAAGCTACGGCCGCCATCTTAGTAAACAAATTTCTCTCGTCGTTGCTGGCAGTTTCGGCAACATATTCAGCTATAACAGCATCAACAATGCGCTCCTCAATCTCAAGCTTCATGCACTCATCACGGAAAAGGATGACTTCTCTTGAGAGCAAAAAGTCGGCGAGATGCATCTCTACTTGGAAGAGATCATTGCCTGTGGTGTGCTCAGAGTTAACTCAAGTTCAAGATCGCACCCAATAAATGACGTCGGATCCTCTGGTTTTACGGGTCTTGGTGCCATTTATTGTTCAATTGTTCCCCTTCGCGCTCTCTTTTTACTCTTTCAGTTGTCTTGGAGAGAGATGCGTCAAGGGGAATGGCTGTGCTTCCCTGTCTCACAAACATAGATACGCATTACAGACGCTTCGTTGAAAATTCATAAATTGCAGTCAGGTGGCAATTTAACTCAATTTCATCTTCTAATCTAACCCCAGCCTATTGCTGGGGCTCCGTCATAAAGATGCTGGAAAGGATACTACTTATTGGAGAATTTTCATAATTTTTACTGAAAGAGTAGAAACTTTTCTACAGTAGCCACATCTCCTACTGGCTTTGTAGTGGAAATTTCCTCAATGCTCATATTGTAATCGTTGACTTGTGCTGTGGCTGAATGAGTTAACGCTTAACTCATCCATATACGGATGGTGGTGGCAGCGTCGTATATGTAGCGCCTCTATTGGGACACGAGCTTCTTTGTTTCTTGTAATTAATTCGATGTCATTAAAATTCGAGAACCGGTTACTTTTCTGGCGATCAACCATCTAGAACATCTTTTTTCATACGTCAATTGACTGGGAAATAGGCCAAGCTAGCACTCGACAATCAACATACACAAACCTCACAACAAAGAAAAATTACTATATCGTTGTGAAATACAGAAACACGGGACCACGTAGCCTGCAACGACAATAGGTAAACTAGTGTTTAGGCAATTTATAAAGTTTTCTGATGTTCGGAAAAGGATAAGTGGCTTCGACACTCCCAATTGTTGGAGGTTCGTCATGGGTATAGGGTAGGCAATCTCGAAAGGGGTAGGGCGGTTGCTGTGACAACAGGAGGACAATGACTTAGCGGTTGGGTACCAACGATAACTCGGTGAACCCTCAAACAACAAAGTGCATTAATATCACTTCTTCCTACTGACCACAACCCTGTCTCACATTCCGCAAACATACCATACTCACTGATAATACTCGTTTTAATATCCCTAGCACCTTCTTCTGCTCTTTACAATGTCACATCTCGCCGACTGTCTATCAGACAGTGAAGGGGAGCTGCCAAGTCCAGATCTGCTCTCAAAGCGCAGTGGCTTATCGAATGGAAAAATGGTCTCAACGCGAGAATCATCGCCCACCAAACCCCCGAGCAAGATGCTCGTACCCAAGTCGGCATCAAAGCCTCGCAGGGTTCGCCGTCTTGATGGCGGTGGCGGCCTTGCCGCCAATGCTCTGTTCCAGAAATGCGATGCAGAGCAATTACTAGGCTCACCGAAGAAGTCTCCTACCAAGAAGTCTCCTCCCAAGAAATCTCCAATCAAGAGGAAAGCTGGTTCATTATTACAGCCTTCAATCTTCGATGATGAGGATATGTCTCCACCCGCTACTACTCGAAGACTTCGCCTTCGAGCACCCAGGATCATTGCAGCCCGGCAACAGGATTCTGATTCCGATGATGGGAATGATTCATCATTCAATGTAGACGATTATCTTGGACAAAGTCTGCTTGGAGGCAACCAAACTTTTGTTTCCCAGGGGTCCAGTTCTGGGTTTCCTGACGCCACTGTTTCGTCAGATCTCACCGTCGACGAAACAGTGGATGAAGACCAGGATCTTGTTGATGCGCAGCTTGCCCAAGATCTTTTCTCTGCCAGCGTCATTGAGCAGGAAAAGGATGAGGAAGATGAGAAGGAGGAAGAGGAAGAGGAAGAGGAGGATGAGGAGGATCAAGAGGAGGAGGAGGACGACACCGTTGACGCTCTGGATGATGATCAATCAAGCTTTGACGAAACAATTACGGAAGCTGAATCCCCTTACAAGGAGACCTCAGATTCAGAGTTTGATGCAAGCGATGACGAGGATGTCACAGTTTCAAACTTCGCACAGTCTTCCACACGTACCAAAAAGCAAGCTTCAGGTGTGAAGGCGACAAAATACCAGAATGTTGAGACATCGGTTCTTTCACCTAAGCAAGCAAACCTTCTGGTTGTTCCTCGGTATGGACAGCAAGATAAGTCACTTAAGAAAAACACCCAAGCACCACTTGCTTCGAAAGAGCCTTTGGACCTTGCCGACGAGCTCGGCAAGTTGAATCTAGGCATGGCTGAATGGTCTGATGAGGAGAACAAGGTGCCCTGCACTCCTCCCGAGACCCCAACGAAGCCGTCACAGACCAAAGGCCTGGTTTCTCCCACTAAGCGAGCGCGCATCCCCCAAACCCCACACAGAGAAAGCACGGACGCCTTCTGGAATGCCGAGGTTGTCAACAGCTGGAATGACCAATATTCTCCACGGAAACTTGACCTGCCTTTCCGGATCACAAGCCCGGTTAAGGCAAGCCCGACGAAAAAGGAGAAGAAGACTTTCGACGAGGCGAAGCAAGCACTGGCAACCGCTTTCTTGAAAGAGCTGGACACCAAGATCACCGATGGAAAGATTGAAGAGCTTGCTGCCTCTACCGGTGGTGTGAAGTTGGTCTGGTCCAAGACGCTCAACACTACAGCCGGCCAGGCCAAATGGAAACGCGAGACCATCAAGACAAAGAAAGCGGATGGTACCGTATTGGATGTGATCTATAAGCACCACGCTTCCATCGAGCTGGCCGAGAAGGTGATCACCGATGAAGACAAGCTTCTCAACACCCTTGCCCACGAGTTCTGCCACTTGGCCAACTTCATGGTGAATGGCATTACCAACAACCCCCACGGCAAGGAGTTCAAGGTCTGGGCTGCAAAGTGCTCTCGCGTATTTAGCGACCGGGGAATCAAGGTCACCACCAAGCACACCTACGAGATTGACTTCAAGTACATCTGGGAATGCTCCAACTGCGCCGCGACATACAAGCGCCACTCCAAGAGCATCAACCCATCCAAGCACCGATGCGGGACTTGCAAGAGTGAGCTGAAGCAGATCAAGCCCGTGCCCCGAGCCGCCAGCAAGCCGAGCGAGTACCAGAACTTTCTCAAGCTCAACATGAAGCTTGTAAAGGAACAGAACCCCGGCGTCCCTCAGAAGGAGATCATGAAGATGGTTGCCGAAATGTGGGCACAAAAGTCTCGGAGCAAGCCAGAGCAGCAGGATGAGGAGGAGTGTAAAACAGTTGAGGATGAGACTATCACGATGGAGGAGGATACTCAGGTGATCGAATTGACTTTGTAGACCCGTGCGTCTTCAAACCCAGTGCATTGTTGGGCGTTGGTTGGGGTATCATTTAGACTGCATTTCAAGATAGCTCAGGATCATGCCGGTTAACGTGATCCTCCCCGGCGCATTGGTTGTGGTTTTAAATCCTTTTTAATTATCATTTAGAATTTCAAATTGGACTGTCAAATCGGACAAGGGCAATTAATTGTACTCTGATTCCTTCATTCATTCGTCACTTCATTGATTGAAACATTCTTCTCTGAATTGGCGCTTCAATTTAGCAGGCGCAAAACGCATGATTCCCTTCACCTCCGACTAGATACCTATACGTGTCCAAAAAGGTCCCAGTCCTTGATCTTGAAGCTGTCCCAAATACGCGCCGAGTACTCAACAGCATCTCCGATGAGCTTACCCTGCTTACCCAGCTCGAGGTCGATGTCCTCCTCGTCGTATTCGCCCTGGATATGGGGCACGTTGACCGTGATGAGGATGTCCGTATTCAGTTTCTCGAGACGGATGAGGGTCGTGAAGATCGCGGTGAAGTCGGGGGATGAGTTATCCTGGGACTTGCCGACCTTGGGCGACTGGGTTGCGAAGAGGGTATAGGCGGGATACTTGCCACTAGAAAACACAGAAACGTGTCAGTCAAAGAGGAAAAGAAAGAACATGCGGCACAGTACAAAGGTGAAAAGCAAGCCAAGTCAGAGAGGTTCACATACTCCAGTTTGGTGAACTCGGTTTCGGCCGTGTTCCAGACCTTGGTGGTATCGATGTCGCCGCCGACGAGCTCCTCGAGGTGCGTCGTCAAGGCTCGGCCGTCGATCTCGGGTCCGGTTCCAGGCCCGCCCACGCGCTCGGTGATGTCGAAGATGATGCTGGTGAAGCCGTCCTTGTCGATCCAGACCTCTTGGTTGTCCGGGACTTCTCGGAGTTTGCTGCGCAGCCGCCTGTTAGTCCAGCTCGCTTGGGTTTGCGATAGAGCAGGGGCGTCTTACCTCACGTCTGCGAAGTGGTCGGGCAGGTCGCTGACGATTGCGCCGCCGAACAGAGGGACACTTTTGTACGCGACCATTTTTCACGATTGACAGTTGGTTGGTCTATTAAGTAGGTTGCGCGATAGCTGAGCAAGCTTGTTCTGGGGCTGATTGTGGTCGCTTCCTTGAGGAAGGGGAAATGGGAGGGATATAAATCGTTGGAGAAGGCAGACTGGATGTGGCGATTGCACTTTGGGGAGATGGTTGTCGCAAAAGAGGTGCATGCAGCGCCGTAGACAATGAGATGGCTGAGCCTCGTTTGCGCCCGAGCTACTTGGTGGGATGTAATCATGTGGCGGGGTACGATGACGATAGTCCCCGACGCCCAACGCTCGCTCGACCAACGACTGGCAATAATGCTACCAACTTATGCATGCAAACATGCACAAGCGGAAGCACACTGATGCACGCCACCTTTTGTGGGACATGGCGCGAGCAGGGTATGCAGGCTGCCATTCAGCGCCATTGCAGCTGCTCACAGGAAGAAGCAGAGATAGCTCGACGAGATGTTTCCGAACACTACTAACAAGAGATAGATGGGGGGTGAATAATGAGAATGGTCGAGGCCCTAAATATATATATCGATCCGCGAACTACTACTAGATCGATCGAGCTTGGTTAAGCTACGCCTACGAATCACTCCTAGCTGTTGTGATACCTGAGAAGCGGCGCTCCCCGGCATTGCACTTTTCTGTTGTCTCCTCCTCCTCAAGAAGAATAGAAATGAAAAGACGGGAGACATTAATGACGACATGTCACCCCACCAAGCAGCTAGCCAAGGAGATGAGAAAGAAAAAAAAAAAGAAAAAAAGAACGAAAAAAATACTGCACGAAGCAAAATCGAACACTGAGGCTAGCCTCGGCTCGTAGGGTTCCAAAGATTAGGTGAATGGAGTCAATTGGGCCAATTCCACGGTCACATCTGGTAAAAGGCAAGAGGTGAGTTCGATGGAAGGTCCCACTCCTACAAAACCGAGCTCTTTTTTTAACTTATATACCCCCATTCTTAGGTGCCGCCAATTCGGATGCCGTCAATGTTGTCTCACAACCCCTCAGAACAGCAGCGTAGTCCCGCTTCTTGGAGACATTGCTGCATGTTAATACCTTACCTTTTCAGGCACCCAATATTTAATCCCTTCACCGTCTACGGATCTTGCTTTGCCTTTTCAAAATCTTTCTCATCTGTCATTCACACCAATCCACCTTTCAAGTACAATTGATCCCGTTGCGTCTTTCGCCATGGCTTGCATCTTCTGCCGTATCATCAAGGGTACATCACGCTCATATCTTCGACGGCCAAGAAATATGCCGTGCTGACTGGTCTACAGGAGAAATCCCATCCTTCAAGCTTTTCGAGAGCGACAAGACCTTTGCCTTCCTTGACATTGGTCCTCTTAGCAAGGGCCATGCGGTAGGTGTTGAAGCTATTCAGAGCTCCTTGCTCGACTACTCTCGGCTAGATCAATTGGCTGATGAAAGTAACAGCTCGTCATCCCCAAGCACCACGGTGCTAAGCTGACCGATATCCCCGATGATTCTCTGACTGAGCTCTTGGTTAGTTCCGCCCGAGGTGATCTAAGTACACAGCTAAACTAATTGGTATTCTCGGCAGCCCGTCCTCAAGAAGATTGCGACTGCTTCTGGCGCCGTTGACTACAACGTCCTTCAGAACAATGGCAGAATCGCCCACCAGGAGGTGGACCACGTAAGTCAACGAGACCTCCCTTCCTCGCTCGCTCATCCCCGCTGTGATCGTCCAGAAACTAATTCGCGCCGCAGGTCCACTTTCACTTGGTAAGACGGACTGGTTACGCCCCGAGCTGTGTATGTGTGATAGGCTAACTCTGTGCGAATTTCCAGATCCCCAAGCCAAACGAGAGCGAGGGTCTGGGCATTGCCTGGAACCCCCAGCAACCTGACATGGACAAGCTCAAGAACCTTGCCGAGGAGATCAAGTCCAAGATTTAGGATGGACATAAAGTCTCCAAATCTATCTTGTTATTGTAGTTGGTGTGTGTAGCGGGTCGGTTGATGGCAGATAGCATTGGTCTGGAGGCGTTTGAGAATGAATGATATGAAGATTGACGATGCAAGTCCCGTTTTTTGTCCCCTCTATGTGCTTCTACCCAAAAATGAATTTTATCTAGTAGTTGCCCAACTCTAATCTACATCATCTGCCGACGTCTCCTTTGCCTGGGCCTTTGGTGAGTAGAAGTCAACACTGCCTCCAGGCTTAATCACGCCCGTTCTATCATATAAGGAGCGCGCGCGCACGTAGGGGTCCAGAACCCAATAGCCCTCCCTGAGCTGTGTTGCCAACTGCTCCCTCTTAGACTTAAGAGAACTGCCGTCAGTGCCGTCGTGCTTCTTAATCCACTCGAGCGTTGTCGCCTCGAACTTCTTGACAACGTCCTCTCTGCTGGCCAGAAGCTTGTCCCTAGTAGCCGTGTCCTTCATCTTGTCGTTTTCTCCAGGAATTGGCTCCTCGTACTTGTATTCCCAGTCCTCGTCTCCTTCAAGTTCTTTCAGGATCCGGCTGGGTTCAATAAACTTCTCAAGATCATTCTTATTGTTAGTGAAGTGGACTTTGCCCGCAACAACGGGATCTAACCAGCCACGGATGATCTTCCAGATACCTACTAAAAGTTAGCTCATTAAGTTTATTTTCCGTTCTTATAGCGTTACTTACCCTGGAATACCCATGGCGAGTTGTGGACAAGCACGGCCCCCAAAGACTCTGGGTAGTTTGCCTCGAAGCACTTGATCATGAACTTGACAGGGGTATAGTCCATGTTGGCCATGGAGAATCCAGTCATATCGAAAATGATAGTCTAGTCAGCGTGTGTTAGTCGCACTATCTCATCTTGAGTTTCTGAGAATTGGGCCACTTACCGCGGTATCAACGGGGGGTGACAGAACCATGCGAGCAGTCTCAATGATGTAGACAGTGTACTTCTCCAAACTCTCCTCGCATTGTTCACCTTGCCTGTGTAGGCGAACCCTGACCACGCAGATGGGGCGCCCGTTCTTATCGATTCCATGAAGGAAGCTCTTGCCCATGCGAATCTGGGCGAGAAAATCCGCACCGAGCTTCTTGTCCTCGCCCTCGCCACTCTCCTCGTTCAATTTGTTTCCAGCCTCGCCATTCTTCATGATATCATCATCCACGCGCATCTCGCTGTGTCGCCAGTTCATGGTAGACACCAACATGACTAGGGCCTTATCAACATCCCACTTGCGGGCCCTCAGAAATCTCAGGAGAAGAGCGTCAGGGTGGTCATGCTTTACCATGGCCCAGATGGTGCTTCGAATCGTCTCTGGACTGTGGTTCGCAAGTGTATCATAGAACTGCTTCGTCTGGCCATACTTGTCGTCGTCACCGCCGTCCTTAATGGCTGGCTCTGGGGCAGGGGAAGACGAGCCCGACTTGGACTCCTTGCCCTTACGGAACAGGCCAAACCGCTTCTTCTTTTCAGGTTCCGAAGCAGGGGCCGCCTCTTCAGCAGCGGCGGCTTCAAGTGGAGCCGCACCACTACCCTCAGTCACACCGGTGAGCTGAAAGACAGCTGACCAGAGTTTGCGGAGTTTCTCTTCCTGCTCGGGGGTCAAGTTGCCAGGACGGCCTTCAAGGAGTTGGGGAGCCATTGTATCTTTTGTTGGAAGAACAACCACCGGTTCCTCTGTGTCGTCTGGAGTGTGGTTTGTTGGGATGAAAGTCGAAAGGACTATAGCAGTCGCTATGGCCGCAACAGTAGTAAGGATTATAGATACACTGATCTCACTTTTCAAGTGCAACTTGTGAGGTGAGATATCAAATTCTCTCGGATTATGGCGATTAAGGCCCGTTAATTGGCGACTACCTCCAGAATTGAGGTTAAAAACTGAATATCTGGGGACCGTAGACTGTGATCTAGAACCCTGGCCTAGAGACGACCTAGTTGCACGGACGCCTACGTGTTGCGCAGATGGAATCCGCGGATGCGCCGGAATGAGCTGGGCAGTCCGCCGAGCTAATGGAAAATGATGCGAAAAGGGACGTTGAAGAGATCGCTGTATTTGAGACTTCATAGGCGACCGCTGCGCCACTCAGGGAAGGAGGGAGACCGGGAGCTTATATCCCGCGGTTATAGACGTTCCGTGTCAGGTGGCGCTCACCGTGATGGGTTCCAATCCTGATTGCTGATGCTTGCGACTCTGACACACCTCCTTGGGGGCTTGCGACTTGAGAGAGAAAGACAGCCGACGCAAATTGAGGTTGCGATCAGATATTCTGTTGAGGTGGTGACCCACTAGTTTCCCTTGGAGGGGCAGGCGCAAGTCCAACGTCAGGCGGATAGAGCCTCTCTGCAGTCTCCGATGTCACAGGATACTGATGTCTGATGACACAGAGGATCGACAGAGGGCGGGCGAGACTTTTCGAGTGAGTCGGGGTTTGGGCTTGGGAGTGGTGACGAGCTGATAACGGCGCTGGTCCGTCTTTAATGAACGATGGGATGCGTGCTGTGTTGCCCCATTGGTCGTCGTTTAGTGGGTTAAAATTAGTACTTGGACGGTACCTGTGCAATAATAGAGAGTCGCTGAGGATGCCACGAGAGGAAGCCATGTTATCAATTCAATGCAAGATGGAACGGGCGCTTTGAAATTCTAATGCGTTCCCTTATTTTGTGGGAAAAATGCCAACACTTTTGCATCGCATTGACTCTGCTTAGCTAGGTTTCCAGATGCGTCTACGAAAGAGGGCACATTATGCATTCACATCAAGGCGCAACTGCTCAGGGCCTAGCTCTAGGTTAGAGGTAGGTAGCTAGAAGGTAGAACTGGTGGTTAGGAGTTCTGAAATCGATAGCATGCACTGCCACGGTCGACTGGAAATTACTCGCCTGGTATGGTAGGTAATTTGGCCTAGGGCAGGATGGTAATCGTATATAATACACTCCCTGTCCAATTTTGACAGGGCCGGAACGTATGCGAGTTCCCGAGATGGCGTCGGATGGCCTGTTTTGTTCCATCTATTAACTCATCCTAACATGCCGCGAAACAAGGATGGTGCTCCAGGTCACCGAGTAGATAACCCTGTATTCTATCCATTATTCCAGATTCAGGTACAAAGGTTGGGGGGTAGCTTGTTTGGTCGCTGCACGTTAGTTGAGTGCGGGGTGGGCGGTGATGCATTGGTGCATTGGTGTCCTGCACTGGCAGTACTGTATTTTGGTGGGGTTTTTACACTCTGCCGGTTGGAGAAGCGCGTCCGTGAAAGCACGTAGCAACAGCTTCTCCGCCGACCAGCTCGACAAGCTCCAATGCCACCAGCACCCTGGAGCACCTTTTCAGGAATATGATAAAGGCTTCTTCATACTCGCTCCACCATGTCAACGAATTACCCCGAATCAGGCGACAAGCGCTCCAACTCTAGGAGCCGAAACTCGCGGCCTACGACGCCTCTTAGACCGACAACACCTCTCAGACCATCTTCTAGGTCCTCGTTTCGCGACTCTGCTCGAGGTGCAGGCGATGGCGACGCACCATTCCCTTTAAATACGTTCGAGCCGGCCTTTGCCGAACTTTCAGATGCCATGGCCGACCTCGAGGCGAATATGATGCATTTCCAGCTTATGCACGAAAGCTTAGCCCGCTTCAGCGAATCATTTGCGAGTTTCATGTATGGTCTCAATATGAATGCATTTTGTGTTGATTTCCCAGAGGTTAGTAGCGACTGATCTATGAAGACACCCCAAAACCTCAAAACTCAGCATCTATTTATCCCATCCATGAAAGTGCGGTGCTAACGTCTCCAAAACAAATAGGCTCCTGTTCCCGAATCTTTCGCCCGAGATAGATCACGAGACGATCAGGGCGGTGCCGCACACTCTCGATCAGAAATTGATGGCGAAACTACATTCATGCAAGCCGCACCTGTATAAACGACCTGCTAGCTTGGACTAACTGTTGACTAGAACTACCGGGACATCGTTTGTTGACAACCCTCCACCGTCGGAGAAGCCAGTAAAGAAGACCACAGGTGCAGCTAGTCGCCAATCGAGGCTGCCTTCTGCGCCAGGGCCATCCACAAGAGGGCGAGGGAATGCGCAAGGTCGTGGCCGTGGCCGTACTAGTGGGCTGGTTCGGCCGCGGGCTCGTGGTTTAAGATGAGGAATAAAGTCGATAAGCAGGAAAAGAACATTGAATCGTGAATCGTACCAATCTTCATTGGTGATCTATGCAGTTGACGTGTATCCTCGTTATGGAGTGTCTATTAATATCGAGGCTTCGAGGTTGGAGTTCAGGTAGCCATGTCAACGTCGTCGGTGCCCGGGTCGTTTTCTCGTTTCCCATTATCTATCCTCGATCCAGCGGCAGCGAGGGCTTCTTTGTGATCATAGGGACCTTCCTTGAGCTGCTTGACTCTGTGACATGTATATATATTAGCGAAGCCGCAAGAAGCGAAACGTCTCCGAGGATATTCACCTGCGCTTGTGGGGTTTCCCCCGGCGGTGTGCGACGAGACTCTTGTCGGTCTCAAACCATTTCGCGCACTCTACGCAATAGTGGCGACCCAGACCAGGCAGGTCCTCAGCTGCTTTGGAATCCTTGTATTGCGACAAATGTTTGGCGGAGAGGAGATCATCTTTGATTTGATCCAGGCCTCTGAGTGTCCGCCGAGTCTTCGTGAGCGTTCTCTTGTTTCCAACACCCATTTTGCCGATATTCCGATTGGTGAATTATGTTTGTAGCCGGCCGGTTTTGCAATATCCGGTTTTAACAAGAAGAATACCGGTTTGCTTCTGTTGATCGTTGGGAGGAAGATGGGAATTTGTTCGGTTTGGAAAATTTTTGTGGAGACCGCTAAACGGCACCGAATTTGAGGCTTTAAGGTGGGGGTCGGATGTTCTGAAGGGAGCCACACAACCATCCAACTTTATCAACCATTTCTGTATCTGCGGGTTACATGTAAGCTGGGAATGCGTAGAAGTCAATTGAGTTTCGACGAGTGTATTTGTACGGCATGTTATGAAGAATAGTCTGGCCTCGACTTTTCAACATTGTCTTTATCATCTTCTTATTTTTTTTTGGAATTATTTATTGCGCCGCTGTCCAAGTTCAGACATCATCCACTCATACACAGCCCATTGGACTGCGTTAACAACGAAAGCCCTGGCGCAGCAGACCGAGAAGCCACGGAAGAAGAATCGAGTCCCTTGCTGTCTCCATCCCTCCTTGGCAACCTCCCAGGCTCCTGCGCGTTGACGCCCAGCGATAGATCCGATAAGGGGCCTTGATTCAGAGGTAGACTCCCAGGCTTGAGTTTGCACCTGGGTCTTGATCACATCGAGTGGGAAAACACTTGCCCATGTTGCAACTCCGGCAAGCCCTCCACATATAAGGACTTTGGGGGCTTCAGACTGGAGAGTTGAATTTCCACCTTCTGCGGACGGCCACATGTTTGTGGCCAATTCGTAGGACCAAAAGTAAAAACCGTAGCCGATACTGTCGCGTAGTACGGTAACCAATCCACCGAAATAGAATCCTCGTATGCCTTCTTCCCTCCATATACGGCGGGCGATGGCGCTGCTCGACAAGGCGTCATTCGATACCTGTGCACGGCATTTGATAACTTCTGTAGGGGTACTGACCACCCAGGTGGTGAGGCCACCAATAGCCCCCGCAAGCCAGGTTGTTAATAGGTTGCTCTGTACACCTAATGCCTGGTTTAGGGCAGCCTCACTGCGATTGTAGGAGAGAAATAGGAGGGCGTTGAGGGCTCCGTATCCAAGAATTGGTGCTGCAGTCCCAGTTGTGAGATTCTTGAATGTGCTTCCCGTAGCCGTGGATTCGTTTCGGGCTTGCATTCGGACCTTGATCAAATCAAGGGGGTTTCCAACAACGATCCCTACGGCACCACTGACGTACCCCGACCAGAAATCTGCGGACATGGTATCTGATTCGTCAACGGTAAGTGGTGAAGTTTGGATATCGAGCGAGGTGTAACTCCTTTTATAGATTGCTCTTCTCAAGCCTGGGCCGATGATTGCCAGTGAATGTGGTAGTTGACGAGATGAGTAGCAAGATATGGTCTTTAAGCTCTTTAGATAAGACTTTCCGCGATGAGGATCAAAGACCAATGTCTCCGTGATAGCAAAACTGGACAATGCGGTCTAGTATTCAAAAACACCACTGTGCACGGGACCAATTGACCAAGCGCGAACCGTCGTGATGCTTCAATCAACCCTCTACCACCACATTTATGGCCATAGTTTGAAGAGCCAAGTTCCCCTCCCATTTCGCTTGCTCGGTTGCCCAGAAGCGACCAGTTTCGAAGTGGGCAAGTGGGCAAACGGGTGACATTAACTTTGGCACACTCATACTTTATACTGGTTATCTTTGAGTTCGTCACAAGCATTAGCAAATGATTGAGGGCTATAAGTAAATACTTAAGAGACCATATACTAAATATGACTACTTGGTATTATTTCACAGCGGCGATAGTTCTCATCATCGTACAAAGAGGCCTGCTTGAAACCACTCTTCAATTGTGATGTGTCATTTCTTTTGTCGCCCAGTTGGTGAGATAACCACTCGAGCTGGTCTCCATAGTGAGTGGGGGTTGATGGCGGGGCTCGATCTTCTGTGGGGACGACTTCTGCCTGGAAGAGCGGATCAAGGGATAAGTCAACTAATTCGTCACGTGAGCGCGTGTCAAGGATGCGACACGGTCAGTCGCGCTTGCCACGCCTGCATCCGAACAACCACTGTTTCTTCCCAACCCAACGTCTGCATTATCATCTGGACTTGGCCTGCAGGAGACCATCGCCTTGAAATTCAGCATGGCAGTAAAGTGAGTCTTTTTCCTCATTCCCACCCTCTATGCATTTATGTTGGTGCTGACCTTATCGCGTGTGGTAGACCTGAGGTCGCCACGCCGCTGGCTGGTAAAAACAAACCTTCGGGACCGCGTACGATGAGCACGCAGTCCATTGACAGACTGCATAAGCCGTTCAAATGTCCCGGTGCTGCACGAGCATCTCCGCTTGCCGACAGACCTGCTCGGAAGCGGCGGAAGGTTAATTACAAAGGCGCCGATGGCGATGCCGATGCTGATAAGCCATATACCAACGACGATAGATTGGCTCTTGCAACCCGAGACGCAAACCGCTTCCCGGTCTTCCAGCCTAAAAGCAAAGATTTTGTGTTCCGAAAGGCCTTTTCTATACCGATGAAAGACAAGGAAAATGTGCTTCTTAACTCCAACCGACCCCCTCCCACTCTGGGGCTAAGGCAAGGCGCTGTCTTCGTGGCAAAACCACTTCATGATCCAAGTGGCGAGTTTGCCATTGTACTCTACGATCCGACTATCGACGATAAGCCGATTTCACCCCCGAAGGAGATAGAGCCCAAAAAGATTGAAGAGGAAAAGAAGATCGATGCCCCATTAGTGCACAAGAGCTTGGCCGAGATTTTGGGAATCCGAAAGCAGGTGGATAAGGAGCATCCCAAGGTTCCCGTCGTTCTTGATCCAAAGTTAGCCAAGATTCTTCGTCCTCATCAGGTGGAGGGAGTCAAGTTCATGTACCAGTGTGTGACTGGTAAAGTGGACGAGAATGCCAATGGGTGCATTATGGCAGACGAGATGGGTCTCGGAAAGACACTGCAATGCATCACTCTCTTATGGACATTGCTCAAGCAATCACCGGAAGCCGGCAAGTCCACCGTTCAAAAAGCCATTGTGGTCTGCCCCGCCAGTCTGGTAAAGAATTGGGCAAACGAATTGACAAAATGGTTGGGTGCTAATGCCATTACGCCCTTTGCAATCGACGGAAAAGCATCAAAAGAGGAGTTGACGAGACAGCTCCGACAGTGGGCAATTGCATCTGGTCGCGCCGTTACGCGACCTGTGATCATTGTATCATACGAAACACTTCGGCTGAATGTAGAAGAGTTGAAGCACACTAAAATCGGGCTGCTCTTCTGTGACGAAGGTCATCGATTGAAGAATGGAGACAGCAACACATTTTCGAGTCTGAATAGTCTCAATGTCACGCGACGAGTCATCCTGACGGGAACTCCGATTCAGAATGACCTGACAGAGTATTTTTCTCTGATCAGCTTCGCCAATCCTGGACTTCTTGGTTCGCGCCTCGAGTTTCGGAAGCGATATGAACTGCCAATCTTGCGAGGTCGCGACGCAGATGCCTCTGAAGCCGATCGCAAGCGTGGTGATGAGTGCACCACAGAGCTCTTGAGCACTGTCAATAAGTTCCTGATCAGACGGACGAATGATATTCTCTCGAAATACCTGCCTGTCAAGTATGAACACGTTGTGTTCTGTGGCTTGGCCCCGTTCCAGCTCGATCTATACAACTACTTTATCAAAAGTCCAGACATCCAAGCACTGCTGCGAGGTAAAGGCAGTCAGCCCCTCAAAGCCATCAATATTCTGAAGAAATTGTGCAATCATCCAGATTTGCTCAATCCTTCCGAGGATCTTCCAGGCTCAGAGAAATGCTTCCCGGACGATTATGTGCCCAAAGACGCTCGGGGTCGAGACCGAGAAGTAAAGTCCTGGTATTCAGGGAAGATGCAAGTTCTTGACAGGATGCTGGCACGAATCAACCAGGACACTAACGACAAGATCGTTCTCATCAGTAATTATACTTCCACCCTGGATCTCTTCGAACGTTTGTGTCGTTGCCGAGGATATGGAAGTCTTCGGCTTGATGGAACGATGAATGTGAACAAGCGACAAAAGCTCGTGGACAAGTTCAATGATCCCGAAGGCTCGGAATTTGTCTTTCTTCTAAGTAGCAAGGCTGGTGGCTGTGGTATCAACCTCATTGGTGCAAACCGCCTAGTGCTGTTCGACCCTGACTGGAACCCTGCTGCTGATCAACAGGCTCTGGCCCGTGTTTGGCGTGATGGGCAGAAAAAGGATTGCTTCGTTTATCGCTTCATCGCCACCGGGACGATTGAAGAAAAGATTTTCCAGCGCCAATCGCACAAACAAAGTCTGTCAACTTGTCTTGTCGACTCCATGGAGGATGTCGAGCGGCATTTCTCCCTCGATAGTCTCCGTGAACTATTCCAATACAGGCCAAACACGACCAGCGACACCCATGACACTTTCAAGTGTAAGAGATGCAAGCCCGACGGGAAACAATACATCAAGGCACCAGCAATGTTGTACGGAGATACGAGCACGTGGAACCACTTCGTCAACGACGGACTCAAAAATATTCAAGATTTGTTGCTCAGACAGGAGCATGACGACGCAATCGTCTCAGCGGTTTTCCAATACATATCGCACTAACTTTTATTAGAAATTCATGAAGACACGACCAAAGATCATTGTTATAAATAGAAGGCGTTCCCAACACTCTCTTGTTATTATTTACATGTCGTGGATTTCTTTTTTGGTCAATGGAGGGCATAGAAGAATAGTCATTGAGTACCTATACATGGTGGGATAGGTCAGCACAGCGCACTCTGCAACTTGATTTTGACAGCCTACGCAAGACACGGTCTGCTTTACTCTGTAATTGTGAGCCTCTGGGAATTGACCTTGGCCTGGAACCCTTAATAAGCGATATATTGCACACTCAATTATAAGTAAACGTATTGTGTTCCAGAGCACCGAGTTTGATATACAGTGTTTGAAGTTTAGCTATCGGACATCCGCACTGTGTGTTCACCATCAATGAGATTTTCTAGTCTGCCGGAATCTCAACCAGACATTCAACTGCGTACAGCGCTTGTGATTCCTTTGTTCAAAAGCTGAAACCCATCATTCTTTTCAAAAATTCATTGATACAGCCGTGCATTGCCCTCACCAGACTTGATCCATGTCTACTCAACAGCAAAAAGCCGACAAGGCGACCGAGGCCGAGTTCGCCTCGTACTACCTCCAGCGCACCACGCAGGAACTGGCAGAGGACCTGGACAAGGTGCGCAATGCGGACGACTTCAAGGCCGAGTCCGTCCCGTTCCTCGTCCGGGCGCTCCAGCAGGGAGCTGTGCAGTTCTCGCCCGACGACCAGAAACGGACCGTGGCTGCTGTGAAGCAGAAGGAGACCTGAGCGGTGGATGCTGCACCTAGTGTGGAGAATTTTATTTATGAGTTCTTGACGAAGTCATTCGATTCGAGGGGAGCGCTCGAATGTGATTCCTGGACATCATACATGCCCTTTCAGAGATCCTTGATCACGAACTGGGTCAGCTCTCCCGTCGGCGCCTTCTCCTTGCTGCATATGCAGTTACTCGCTACGCATTTTGCGGATTCGACTTTTGAAAAGGGAGGAGGGAATTTATGAGGGAGGTTGCTACATGCTATGCGAGCACTGGTCGAACTGGACGTGAAAGCCCTCCGAGCTGAGAGATGGCTGAGACAAGGAGGACTATGAGTTACGCATTCACGAGATTTGAGAAAGACATGTTTTAGTTGGTAAACTGATTCATAAAAAATCGCAAAATTTCTTATTAATATTATTCTCGTTCATAAAACAACTCCCTATGCATGCCCTCCTCATTTTCTATTTGCTATGAGAGGAGGCGTGGTATGAAGGCATTGGTCTAAGGCATGTTGTGGGTATCTCGAATTATCAAAAAAGTGTCAGGGCCGTTCATGTCGTTTCAGAAGCAAAAGCAAAAAAAATTCAAAATCAAAAGTCGTCTCCAAAAACCCAAGCGAGTTCAAGCGGTTGCTCAACGTCGCTTTGTGAATCATGTTGTTGTATGGGTGGCGTGTTGGTCGGGTTCGGGGATCAAGGGATCAGTGGAAAACCGAGCGTCGCTCCTTGCGCTGGGCCCAACCCTTGAGCGCGAGGACGAAGATCTCCCAGGCCATCAGGACGCCAACGAGGCCCATCGTCACCGTGTACATGAACATCTCCTCCATCTTGTAGTGTATCATTCCGGCGACAGTATCGCTGCTCTGTTATAGACATTAGCACCATGCGGTCATGATAGCCACGACGAAGGAAAATTAAACTTACACTCGCCATGAAAATAATACCTCCGGCCATCAAGCCAAATGCCGCCAACAGCTCAGTTGGGGGTCGAGATGGGTAGATGGAGGTCGGGGGTCGCAGATAGATGAGGATATATGTGAAACCTCTAGCGAGCGAGGCACCAAAAAGCAGGTCTCCCCATTGCTTGTGGACCATGCTGGAGAGCATGGAAGGCTGCTGGTGGGAGCTCATCATGATCCCCAGAAGCATGATAACCAGCGCTGGGATAGGATTCAAGGAGAACTTGTAAGTGGCAGGCTCGAAACTTTGTTCCCGCTCCTCGTCCGATAGAGGAATAGGCTCAACTTCAACCATGGAAGTGTTGAGAAGGTTGCGAATCCACGCTGATTCGATAAGCATTCCACACTAAATACCAACGATTAGTTATACGTCACTCCTGGAGGCCTCAGTCAATGACCGAATTGGAACTTACCAGGCCACCACCAATGAACAGAACGGTAATGGCAAGATGCTCTAGGTCCTGAGCACTCCAGGCCCCGCCAGCGCCACCCAGATGCTCCATGAAGATGTTTGTCGAGCCATAAAAGAAGATGAGGAAGCTTTCCATCCACTCCGCAGTTGGTCGCCACCTCTGATGCTGCGGCTTGGGCCGGATGTTCCACGCCCATCCTACCTCAGCAAACGCCCCAGACCATCGTCCAAGCGTAAACAGGCCAAGCCAGAAGAAGATGCCTCCCTTGATCCAGTGAGCCAAACCGCTGTAAACGCCATGTCCCTCCTATAGTCTCAATTAGCTCAGATTCACGAAAGGTTAAGAACAAGAAGAACTGAAGCAGAGGGGGGCTTACAAAGAATCTAGCGTATGCAATCATTCCAGTTGCGAAAGCGATGAAACCAAATGGAAGAATAATGCGGTCGATAATCTTGTAGACCAACTCAAAATAAGTCCATATCCTTGTTGAAGCCACCAGCTTTGCCAGCTTTCCATACTTTGTAGCCTTGGGAGCAGCTGGCGAGGTCAAGGGCATTTCCTCGAAGTCCGCATCTTCCTCGTACTCCTTGTGGGGGTTGTCGAGGTCGTGGTCCCCATGAACAGTTGACACAGAGTTGCTGCGAAGGGACTCGGTTCCAGGTTCAGTACCTTGCCCGCTATCGTTGGAATGACGAAACTCTCGATAGTCCTCTTCGGACACAGGGAGGAATGTATGCTTGTGAGCTTCAGAATCAATGCTATGGTGCGAGCCTCGTACGACACTCGCGATACGTCCGACCAGGCCGATGAGAACCTGGGCGGATACCACCCAAGTGATGATCCAGCCAATAGAGTGGTGTGCATTTCCAGGATACAGATCTGGCGTGGAGGCGTTGTAGATGGTGCTCAGAAGAACACCGACTGCATTTGTAGCCAAGAATACAAATTGCGTGTAAATGGTGTATCGTGATGATACCAGAGAAAACATGACGGCTGCTCCTAGTCAGCATGAAATGTGTCTACATTTTTCATTCGTCCTTCTTTCGCAAGAAAGTGAAAGAAGGATAGAGCTCTTTGGACTTACCGACTGGCAGTATAAAGACCCAGCCAATGGTCATTAAAGCAATATGGCCCACGATAAGACCACGATGCTCGGGATGAGCAAAGTATGTCGGGGGATATTCTGATTCGTCTTTGGGCATATCTGCTTCCATACTGCCATTTCCGTGCATGCCGTGACCTCCATCACCTCCATGCGCCAGAACCAAAGGGAGCGCTGCCGCTACAGCCAGCACCAGGGCTGTGCGGGAAACCAAAGGAGCGCGCATCATTTGCACGCTCGGCCTTTTATCGAGTCTATTTTATAGATGTGCACCGAGGTGTAAGACGGGCTTTCATAGAGAGTACCGCTCACTGTTCAAAGAGATTGGAGAAGGACAACTGGCTTCTGAGGAAGTATCCTTGATTTATTAAAGGGAAAAAAGACAAACACCACAGGCCAAGGTCAGTCAAGCTCTGGCCCACGGCAATTGGATATCTTCCTCGTTTGGAGTTGCATTCAGCATAACAGCAAAGTCACAAGTACTCCCTGTAGGCGGCGGCAGCCGGCCTCTCTTATACGTTTACATACACTTACACATCTTGGCAGACATACATTACGCATACCAGGCCAGGGCCGGGTTGCATTAGTTCTCTTCGAGGCTAATGGGGAAAACCTGCACCCGGTAACCAGAGCGCCACCACTTTGCACGGCGACTTATGTGCCGGGATCGCCCTAAGGCTGTCTCGCTCAAATCATCTCGCTCTCCGGAGCGGACCCAAATGGCAACTGGGGCTGCGGGAGCCAGGATGATATGAGCTGATTAAGGCAGCAGCAGGCTCTGGTGTATGATGTGGTGGCCATGTCAGAAAACAGTCACACAGTGTAGAGTAGTGAGGTGGGGGATGTTCCGAAGATTCCGGATCACAACCGCAAGATGCGGTCAAGTTGGACGAAGCAGGTGGGGATGCCTGGCCAGCCGCATGATCCCAACGAGCTGGCGGAGGGTCCGGCAATGATTCGCTAATAAGTGATGACCAGGGGTGACAAAGCTCACATTAATAATGATGGGCTCGGTAGTTGGCGAGTCCAGTTGTCTTCTCATCATACCTGCAATGGAAATGTTTGGCTTGGGTTTCAAGCACCAACATGCGCCCGATGCAATCGAAGACCCCGCCAACGGCCGGCGAGGCGGCTGAGTTAGCGAGGGTCTCCGTAGGGGAAAAGCCCAAACATTCCATCCTCGACTCTGTGGGAGCCGGTGCGCGTACGGACATTGTGTGGTGCCCGGAGCCCGCCCAGCATCATCTGATCACTCATCGGAGCCCCAGCGGATCAGATTTGCTCTTGATCTCCAACAATGGGTGGGGTTGGGCTGCCAGTGGGCGGGGGATGGAGGGGTGCAATTGTCTCTTTCCATCGTCTGATTCTTCTCGCAGCCGTGCATAAGGCGGAACGAGCAGCAGATGCCTTAGGCAAGGCGCAAAGCGAAAAGTACGATGGCACCATGCTCGGCCCAGGCAGGCGCGACCGTCTCGTCTAGGTAATCACGGCCACAAGGTGGATAGCGGCGGCTTACCAAGGACGTCATACCTCGAATGCGCCAGGAAGGAGCCATCATGTGTTTGTGTGCATGCTCTTTGCGCCTGGCCTGTGCAGTGGGGCCGCCTTCACAACCTAAATTGCACGATGCCGAAGCCTCCGAAACCCTCGATCAAACAGACGCAAAGGGCTTGGGGCAGGGCTCTAGCACCGCGCTGGCATTGTGACTATGGTGCAAGACAATCCTACCTGGAAGGGATGTTGAGGGGATACCGGGGTCCCCAGCTACATCTTGCCCTTCGCCGTTGTGCGCGCCACCTCCAAACGTATACGCCGTGTTGGCAGCTTGGCCGTAAAAGGCGGTCGGCCTTGGCGCCTGTGATGGAAGCACATCGACCAGTCAGGCCGGGTTCTCCCAAACTCCCATCCTCTGGATCGACTTCTGGTGCCCTCGTCTCGAACAACTGTGTGGTTGGACCCCTGTTTGATGGCAGACCTGTCACCCTCCCGGCCCGCAGATCACTCACTTACGTAAAGTCCGGAGCGGCGCAGATCCAACCACCGAAGAGCCGGGAATTGTAGCATCTGTCTTGTAATTGCAGCACCTGAGCTCACCGAGATAGAACTTTCTCTGAGCCAACCGATTTCTGCTTACGTAGCTATACTAGCTTTCATAGCCATTATCACCTACAATATAGATTGCACACTCATGTTATGCTGCAGGCATGGCTTCAGGCAGGCCCCACAGAGATCGGGATCTGTATGACTCCATGGGTGATAATTCTCAATCAAGACGGTAGCTTTGACCCACTCAAATTCATGCCCCTCTCCCAGCTCCAACACTCGGACATGCGGTTGTCAAAGGCATCCTCAAGATGTGGGAATCCCTTCAAAAATTTCAAGGCAGGAGTATTCATCGCCGACCTTTTGCGCACTTAGCTGCTTGGCAAAGTCCGAACGTTCCGGACTCGAAAACAGGAAGGAATAGCTGTCTCACGAACCCGATCCTTGTAGTTGACATAAAAGAATATTCTCGCCTTGTGTTTCATCTAAGCCGAGTAAAGGGCGTACCCCGACCGGCCATGGGGTTTCATAGAAGAAGAAGAAAGCTGTGGCAACGGCCAGGTGAAGCCGAGTCTCGGTGGGGCGGAGGGGAAGGTGTCCAGGTGAAAGCAACCTCACCTGCGCAAGGAGTAAACATGGGTAGGGAACTCGGTCACCATGAGGCCGCTATCACCCGTAGTTCTCCGGCTCCAAGGAAGCTGTCGTACGATTCACATCTTGGAGCATGACTAACATCTAATAGCCGTGTAAGTTGATCTCTGACACACTGTAACTTGCTATCCTGTTGGCCGTTGTCATTGGTCTTATAGACTGGGAGAGTGGCTTGTAAGCTGCCATTGACTCTCTCCTCCCTGTTCCACCTTTCCTTCCGCCTTAAGCTTCTCCAAGATCTGAACTACTCCTCCGCAGGCGGCGGGGTGGAGATCCTCTCTGACATCAGCGTACACGACTTTGACTATTTCCATCGCCGTCCAAGCAAGACCTCCCTCATCCTTCTGTGACCGAAGGGTCCGTACGACCTGCTCCTCTCTCTGTTTTCTATGTTCGATGTACTCGACAATTTTCGAAAGACCGTCCTCCAGCACGGGTCCATGGCCGGGATATGCCCTCCCCTTTGCTTTGAAGATACTCCGCATCTTATCCAAGCTTGAAAGATATACTCCCAGATTCTCAAATACGGCCGTGCCCTGACCAAGCACGTTGTCCGCCGTAAACATGGAGCCTTCCTCGGCCAGCCAGAACGTCATGTGGTCCGTAGTATGGCCAGGTGTATGCGAAGCCGTCAAGGTGGCACCTTCTGTCTCAAAGGTTTGGCCATCCTCAATGGCCAACTGGTCTTTGCCCGGTTCATTTTTATAGATGCGAACCCCCGGTGAGAGGCCCCGGAGGTCTTCGATCCCGTTGACATGGTCATAGTGCCAGTGAGAGATGAGGGCACTCTCAACAACCGCATTCTCTTTCTCGAGTGTGGCCTTGAGGTCGTCTAGCCAGGCCCGACGGCCCTCGCCGGTGTCAATAAGGATGCGACGGCGGCCAGTGCCAATAAGATAGGTGTTTGTGCCTTGTAATGTAAATTTGCCAGGATTGCCCCCCAGGATGCGGATGACTCTGGGGCTGAGACGTTCAATCGCCGGCAAGGCGACTAATTGGGCGGCCATGATCTCTCGGCTGTCTTGAATACGGTCACACTGGGATATTCCCCGATCAGATTGAATCTTCCGTGACAAAGATAGTCGCTTTCAAGTAAAGGCCTTATGGATCGAGGATATTAGTGATCAGGTTGTGGTGATTGGAAGGTTCAACAGAAGTGGGGAGAATGCAATCAAGAAGCTGCATGAAACATATATGTGGTTTTCTTAAATGGATAAGAGAGCGCTCGAACATATACCAAGGAGTGTTGATCAGGGATGACGGTTAAGACCGCGACATACGGGGAGGAGAAGACGATGTCGCAATGCCTCGGCTTTTGGAGAATGATGGTACTCCTCATCCTGCTAAGCTTCAGCCGTAAACGGAGGGACGATTACTACTGTTTGGTACATGGTGAGTGCCACGAGATAAATAGTACCAGCTTCTGGAAAGTACAGGGACAAAATGTGCCCAGCCAGATTTCATTCGCAGTGCAATACTAGTCCGCCCTGAGTGTTCCTCTACTTGGAAATTAATGCTAGATAGAAATCTCATCAGTCAATCCATCAAAGTACTTCCGAGGCTTGACTGCTGGGCGTCGCCTAACACTCAGGGTGCACCTTCCCGTCGGCTTACCTAACATGCATCCACTGAAACCGGACCCTTTGCGCATTCCGCGATAAGCTTTTTAGGGAGCGCAAAAGGTCAGATAAGAGCCTCTAGCGGCGGCGGATGGGTCTTATCGCGTCCTTATCCAGGAGGCCAACCCAATTTATTGGCGATTAATTACGGTGTTACTGACCTGCGAAATCGAGCATCACCAACACCGTCATCGCATCATTCCCTGCGACTTGCTCCCCGACCAGCCGTTGGTCTCACCTTCGCTTCACCTGGCCCAATTGCTCTACAGAGTCCGCCGTTTGAGCTGAATTTTGGCTATTGTGCAAACTTCCATTGTCGCTGCAGCTCTTTCGTTTCTTTCATATTATTTTGGTCCCTTCCCGATTCGCGCTATTGTCTGTCGGCCTGTTGCACTTTATACCCCCCTCCACCCCCAAGGTGAGCTGACCCAGGATCAACATGATCAATCCCAGAGCTTGGTTTACAGATGCAATCCGCAGATCAGTTCAAATTGAATTCTACAACACAATAACTTTACTTGGTTCGTCGGGATTTCATTGCCATGGTGCTTACCCAATCCAGTGCCAGTATTTACTAACAATGTCACATTGATCGCAGTTCGACGCACGAGACCTGTCAAGTGCCCAAACTTTATTACTCAGGCCGGAGGAGAGTCTACGGTACTCTTGCCTTTTTACGATCCCATTTAAACTCGGACAAAAAGCTTGACAGACCGCCGACACGACTTGAAACTACAAACCAACAAATCTACAACCCACATCGCCTTCTTTCCGCAAGGCTCTAATCTTAACTCACCAAGCTTCTTCCTCGACATACCATATCAAGACAGGCGCTTGAATACATACTTTGCGAAGAGAAACGGCGTCTCTATTATACAATACAACTAATACCGGCGGAATCGCAATTAATAGACGG